GGATATAATTACATATTCTTTAATTAAATATCACCGTTATCGCATATTGGTAAAAATCACGGATATAATTACATATTCTTTAATTAAATATCACCGTTATCGCATATCGGTAAAAATCACGGATATAATTATATGTTCGCTCGTTAAATATCACCATTATTGCATATCGGTAAAAATCGCAGATATAATTATTTATTTCCTCATTAAATACCACTTATCATATATAGCTAAATATTATGGATATAATTAAGTATTTTGTCGTTGAGTACAGTTGCCATCTCATATTCGTGAATATAATCCTTATAACTATATATTTCATTATTACATACCATCGTTTTCGTATCTCAGTAAATGTTGGTATAATTCTATATTCTGTCACTAAATACCATCAACATCGCATAGTGGTGAATAATATCGCGATAATTATATATTGAGTCATTAAATGCCATCGTTTTTGTATATTAGTAAATATTATAGTTGTAGTTATATATTCAATCATTAAATATTGATGTTATTGTATGAAGTATATACTATTATTATAATTGTATATTGGCGAATAGTTTGTTGTAATTATATAGACTAGAATCCCTACAGTGTGGAAACAGGCCCTTCGGCCCAACAAGTCCACACCGACCCTTGCAGCATCCCACCCAGACCCATCCCCCTATAACCCACACACCCCTGAACATTACCGGCAATTTAGCACGGCCAATCCACCTAGCCTGCACATCTTTGGACTGTGGGAGGAAACCGGAGCACCCGGAAGAAACCCACGCAGACACGGGGAGAATGTGCAAACTCCGCACAGACAGTCGCCCGAGGCTGGAATCGAACCTGGGTCCCTGGCGCTGTGAGGCTGCAGTGCTAACCACTGAACCACCGTGCCGCCTATCATTAAGTGCTATCGTTATTGTATATCACTGAATATTGTCGTTGTAATTACGTTTTCTGTCGTTAAATATTGCTGTTGTCATATATCGGTAAATATTATCGTTGTAATTAAATATTCCATTGTTAACAGCCATCGACATTGTGTATTCGTAAGTGTTATCGTTATAATTAGATATTCCATCATCGAATACTGTAGTTATCATAAATCAGCCAATATTGTCTGTATAATTATATATTCTCTAATTAAATGACAGGGTTATTGTATATTTGGTAAGTATTATCGTTACAGTGCTTTATTCTGTCATTAAACACCATGGTTATTGTATAATGGTAAACATGGATGTTAAAATTAAATACGATCATTACTGTATTTTGTTCTGTATGTCAGTTAATATTTTTAAATAATGTTGTTATTGCAAGTCAGTAAATATGATTAAACCCCATTGTTGTTGTATATTGTTAAAAATAATTAAATACCTTTATGATCTGATGTTAAAATTATGTTGTGTATGTTCTATAAGAAAACATTATTATATGCCATTGATATTAAACATAAGTAAATAATATTGAATGTTAAAATGTAAGCATTATTTGTCATAGCTCATTAATTGTCGTTAAATATTTCTGTTTGAAGTTGTTAAATATAATAATTAGATGTCAGTATTGATTGTTGTTGTAAATCATTCTTAAACATTCACTAAATATTGTCATAAATGTCAATTTTTTAGTAATGAAGTGCTTAGCTTTTGTCCGGTTCATTTCCTGTAGCGAACTGCTGACAAAAACAAATCTGTAAACTTAATCAGTTCTGAGGAAGGGTCATTGGACCCGAAACGTTAACTCTGTTTTCTCCTTCACAGATGCTGCCAGACCTGCTGAGCTTTTCCAGCAACTTTTTTTTTGTTTCTGTAAACTTGATCTTGTGGTTAAAGTCCCTAGCCCCCTGAACGTAACGACACAAGTAGATAGGGTGGTAAACGCAGTGTATAGCAATGCTTGCCTTTATTGGTCGGGGCATTGAGTACAAGAGTCAGGATTGTCATGTTGCAGCTTTATAATACTTTGGTTAGGCCACACTTAAGAGTATTGCGTTCAGTTCTGGTCACCATCTTACAGGAAGGATGTGGAGGTTTTGGGGAGGGTGCAGAAGAGGTTTACCAGGATCCTGCCTGGATTAGAAGGTATGAGCTGTAAGGAGAGGCTGGAAAAACGTGGAGATAGCAAGAACTGCAGACGCTGGAGTCAGAGACAACACAGTGTGGAGCTGGAGTAACACAGCAGGCCAGGCAGCATCGGAGGGGCAGCATCAGGGACCCGCCCTACCCGAAATGTCAACTTTCCTGCTCCTCTGATGCTGCCTGGCTTGCTGTGTTCCTCCAGCTCCACACTGCGTTGTCTCTAGAAAAACTCGGGTTGTTTTCTCTGGAGCAGCGGAGGCTGAGGGAAGACTTGGTAGAAGACTATAAAATTATGAGATGCACGGATAGGGTTGATGGTCAGAATCTTTCTCCCCCAGAGTTGAAATGTCTAATATTATGGGGGCATGCGTTTAAGGTGAGGGGGTGGGGAGTTCAAAGGAGATGTGATGGGCAAGTTTTTTATGCACAGAGGGTGGTAGGAGCGTAGAATGCGCTGCCAGGGGGCGGTGGTGGAGGCAGATATGATAGGGGTCATTTAAGGGGCTTTTAGATAAACACATAGATACGGAAGGAATGGAGAGGTGTTGACCAAGGGCAGGCAGAAGGGATTAGTTTAATTTGGTGTCATGTTCGGCACAACATCTTCACCCACTCCCTCCGACCTTGCAGTGGGGAGTGGGGCTGGAGTGGGGGTGGGGCTGTGTGCACGCGCGCAAGAGAGTGTGTGTGTGTGTGTGTGTGTGCACGCGTGTGTGTGCGTGAATATGTGTGCGCGCGCGTGTGAGTGTGTGTGTGTGTGAGAGAGAGTGTGCGTGAATGTGTGTGTGTGGTGAGGGAGGAAGGTTTGGGGGGGGTCAGGTGTGGACACAGGTTGGGAGTTGGAGGGGATGAAGATTTGGGGAAATGGTCAAGGGGCACAATTTGCAGGTATCCACGGGGTAAGAGCAAACAAAGGGGACCCGGGGTTTTAATGACCAACACGTCTTCCTTTGTTCCACCAGTGACCTGACCCACTCGATTGTGAAGGAGAAGTTCAGGAAACACATCAATAAAGATTCCCTCACTAAGGAAGAGAAGCTACAGCTAAAGAGAGCGGTCGAAAAAGCATTGCTTGAAAATGAGGTTGGTGAGGACACTCACTCCACTGACAACGGGCGCTCCCTCAGCGCTGACCCTCCGACAGTGCGGCGCTCCCTCGGCGCTGACCCTCCGACAGTGCGGCGCTCCCTCGGCGCTGACCCTCCGACAGTGCCCGCTCCCTCGGCGCTGACCCTCCGACAGTGCGGTGCTCCCTCAGCGCTGACCCTCCGACAGTGCGGCGCTCCCTCAGCGGCTCAGCATTTATTTCTGGAGTCTGGCTGTGTTGAGTTTATTTTCCCCTTTATCTGCCTTAGTCCCAGGAGGATGAGTCCAGCGACGATGATGTGCCTCTGAGTTTGACAGCAGAGTTGTTGAGGAAGCAGAGACGCAGGAACAGCGCACCACATCCAACTGGCGAAGATGACCAGACGAACGGTAGCCCACAGCTAGGCAAAAGGACGCGAGCTGACTGTCCCACCTCTGCTCAACCGCCTTTTCCTGTTGACACCACCCCCCCAACTCTCTCTGTCTCTTTACCTCCTTGACTCTCGGACACCCTGCCCCCGTCCTCACTTCCACCCTCTGTTGGCTTCCCTTCTTCATTTCTCTATTTCTCTGCCTCCTTCTGTCACCTCTTCATTTCCCGACTCGTAGGACCGTACAGCACAAACAGGCCCTTGGTTCCTCCCCCACTCCTTCTCCTTCCTTTCACTCTGTCTCCCTCCACTCGTCTTTGTCCCTCTCACTGCATGTGTCTCTCTCTATGTCTGTTCC